CCAATCCACAGTATACTAGAGTTTGCCCTCTTGGAACTCTTTCAACAAAAACTTGAACAATTTTTTTAGACTGCTATGTGCTATAAAGAATATTAAAAAAATGGTTCAAAATTCAAATGCACGAGTGTAATTTTAAAGTTTAGTATAGTATAAGACCTACAAGCTGAAAAATTAACCCTTTCTCTTCCTATATTGGTATGCAGATTTTGTGGACAAGGCAACCACTGTGACCGGAAGAAGGACGACCTAATCACCAACGCTATGAGGCTAAACACTGTCACCGTGTCGAAAGAACTAAAATCGAATGATTCGAATGGGACCCTATATGGGCTACCGGAATCATCTTCATCACCGCCTACTCCAAACAAACCACCTCTTCCCTCCACCAGCCAGCCAAAACCATGGACAGGCACCTCACATCCTCCTTCCAAATCCCCGCTGGTTCCATGACCGTCTTCACCTTCACCTGTATGCTTACCACCACCGCCTTCTACGACCGCCTTTTTGTCCCTTTCATCCGTACTTTCACCGGCATTGATCGTGGCATCACCTTCCTACAAAGGTTGATAAAAAAGTTTCTTATGAGTGAAAAAAGTTAACTTGACATTTGACTTTTTTTTAACTAATAATAATTTTGGGATTTTTAGCCTTTTTCTAACCATAAAGTAAGCTTAATTTGCACATCCCAAATATCCTTGTATTAGTTTTTTAGGCAATTTTCGTTCATAACTCATTCATACATTTCTGATAGATGTGAACACTAGATGAGGAAGATTATTAATACATAGATTATATCTTGAGACCGTTGCACTCCAATTATACCTTTACTGAGGGAAAAACGACTTTAAAACAATGATTTTATGCCTCTCAATCTCAAAAGTCAACTCTTTCTTATTTTATGTTATTTTACATGCATTCTTATTTTAATTGTTTTATATCTCTTAATTCATTTTTCATTGAATAAAATTGTATTGTTGCTTAATATTTTTCTGTTATTTTACATGCATTCTTATTTTAATTGTTTTATACCTCTTAATTCATTTTTCACTCAACAAAATTGTATTGGTGATTAATATTTTTCTAACAGGATGGGCATTGGTTTCGTCATTTCAATCCTCGCCACCCTAGTTGCTGGCTTTGTCGAAGTGAGGCGAAAACATGTGGCTTCAGCCTATGGCCTCACCGACAACCCTAAGGCCACCATACCCATCTCTATCTTCTGGCTCGTGCCGCAATACGGCCTCTATGGTGTGGCTGAGGCCTTCATGTCCATTGGACACATGGAGTTTTTGTACGATCAAGCGCCAGAGAGCATGAGGAGCACCGCCATGGCTCTTTTTTGGTCCGCGAATTCGTTGGGGCATTATTTGAGTACCCTTTTGGTTACTGTGGTGCATAAGTTGAGTGCTGGTCCTGGCGGATCAAACTGGCTTCCAGACTACAATTTGAATGAAGGGAAGTTGGAGTATTTTTACTGGTTGATTACAGTGATGCAAATTATTAACCTTGTGTACTACGTGTTTTGCGCGAAATTTTATACTTTCAAGCCGGTTGAGATTCATAGGAAAGAAGATGGTGAATCCACTAGAGATGCAGTTGAGCTTGCTAGCCATGTTTAGTTGCATTTTAAGCTTTGGACAAATTTAGTTTCCTTTCCTTTCATTATAGCTTGACTTTATTTTCTATAGTAGACAAGCTTGTAGAGATCAATGGACCAAACTGTATTTTATAATGATACTGGTGTGGGTGCACATATGATACGCATACAAAGATCTGTAGTTTATGAATAAAGTGTTATATATGATTCCCCACAAGTAAATCAATGAATGAGAATAAAAACTAATGCGAAAAAATTAAATCAATAGCAACACAAGAATTTTACGTAGATCCCTCAATATGATGTATGTCCACGGGATCGAAATCCGATTCCACTATCAACCGTAAAGTTTCCAAACGATTACAAACGAGACATGAATGGTCTCACAAACCACCGTTAGGTAAATTCCAAATAATCACAAATAAACAAGAGGAAAAACATCACCAAATGGATGAACAAAAGTCTTCAAAACAAAGTTGTAAAAGACCCAAATTAACTTCACCAAATCATCCAACTATGAAGCCGAAACCGAAGCACACTAACTCAAATTTAATTCCACCGAATTGGTTTTCCAATATTGTAACAGCCGCACAGCACCTCTCCTTTGGAAAAACAATACCAAATATATATATATATATAATTAGATATAATATATTAAAATATATTATAACTAACACCAAACCAAACTAAACTATTTTAATAAACCAATTGGGTCCCACACTCCAAATAAGGAGATATACCTAACAATTTTCCCCTACCAACTTAGGTGGAGACATCAATCATACTCGCCAAAGTTTGACACTTTAAATGTTTGTCCCTCGACAAAGTCTTAGTCAACATATCCGAAATATTATTATCTGTGTTAACCTTTTTGAGTTGCAATAATTTCGAATCTAACACATTACGAATCCAATGGTATCTCACATCAATGTGTTTTGATTTCGAATGAAAAGTGAAATTTTTACTAAAATGGATAGCACTTTGACTATCACAATAAAGCAGATACCTTTCTTGCTTCAAACCCAATTCTTATAAAAATTTCCTCAACCATAACTCTTCTTTCCAAGCTTCCGTAATGGCAATAAATTCAGCTTCGGTAGTTGAGAGAGCAACATATTTTTGTAATTTAGATTGCCACGTCAAAGTTTTCCCTGCAAAAGTTATCAAATATCCTGAAGTAGATTTCCTAGAATCAACATTACCAATCATGTCAGAATCCGTGAACCCATCAAGCATCGGCTTACCATCCCCAAAACACAAACACACCTTCGAAGTCCCTCGAAGATACCTTAGAATCCATTTTACCGCTGCCCAATGTTCTTTACTCGAATTAGAGAGAAACCGACTCACCACACCAACGGCGTGAGCAATATCCAGCCTTGTACAAATCATGGCGTACATCAAAGAACCAACTGCTGAAGCATAATGAATTTTCAGCATCTCTTCCTTGTCTTTGTCACTTGTAGGACATTGATTCGAACTAAACTTGAAGTGACCCGCAAGTGGACAAGAAACCGACTTTGCTTTATTCATGTTGAACCTCTCAAGAACTTTTTCAATGTAGCTTTCTTGAGAAAATCAAATCAGCCCCTCTTTGCGATCACAAACAATTTTCATACCAAGTATTTGCTTTGCCGATCCCAAATCTTTCATAGCAAAAGACTTGCTCAACTCCAATTTTAACCTGTTAATCATGGTAGAAACTTGACCCACAATTAATATGTCATCAACATAAAGCAAAAGAATAATAAATTTGTCATCCGAAAATTTTTTCACAAACACACAATGGTCCGAAGTGGTTTTAGAAAAAACCATTATTTATCATGAAATAGTCAAATTTTTTGTACCATTGCTGCGGGGCTTGCTTGAGGCCATACAAACTTTTTTTCAATTCAATCTACAGACTAAGTTTTCTTTCCCTTTTACTACAAAACCTTCTGGTTGCTCCATGTAAATTTCTTCTTCAAGGTCACCATGAAGAAATGCGGTCTTCACATCAAGTTGTTCAACTTCAAGGCTCATAGTTGCAGCCATGCCAAGTACAACCCGAATAGTAGACATCTTCACAACTAGTGAGAAAATCTCATCAAAGTCAATATTTTTCTTTTGCCCAAAGCCTTTCACAACAAGACGTGCTTTGTATCTCAAATTCTTGCAATCATTTTTTAATTAGAAAACCCACTTATTTTTCAGAATTTTCCTCCCCTTAGGCAACTTTACTAAATCATAAGTGTGATTTTCAAGTAAGGAATTCATCTCCTCTTTCATAGCCTTTTTCCAGTCATCTTTCTTTGCATGCTCAATTGCTTCTTGGTAGTTCTCAAGCTCCCCTTGATCGGAAATCAACACAAATTCATTGGGAGGATGCTTTCTCGAAGGTTATCGGTCCCTTGTAGATTTCGTCAACTCAAGTTGTGGTGACGATTCTAGAGTTGGAAGCTCTTCCTCAATTTCTAGCTCAAGTTCATTAGGGTTAGTATCATCCTCCACATCTTCAATAGATGGCTGCACATCTCCCCCATTTTCATCATCAACTGAAGATGAAGGAGATGGATCCATGTCAATGAGATAACTACTTTTTGGCTCTAGTTGATCACCTTTACCAAAGTCTTCAATTGTTTGGTCTTCAAGAAACACAACATCACGGCTTCGAATGACTTTCTTGTCGATCGGATCCCACAATCTATACTCGAATTCATCACGCCCATAGCCAAGAAAAATACATTGTTTTGACTTACTATCAAGCTTGAACCTCTCATCCTTTGGAATGTGAACAAAAGCTTGGCAACCAAACACTCTCAACTGCTCATAAGACACATCTTTGCCGGTCTAAACTCTTTTTGGAACATCACCATTCAAAGGATAAGAAGGAGACAAATTGATCACGTCAACCGCTGTCCTCAATGTCTCACCCCAAAAGGATCTTGGTAATTTAGCATGTGAAAACATACACTTTGTTCTTTTCATAATGGTGCTGTTCATCCTCTCAACAACGCCATTTTGTTGAGGAGTCTTCTTAACAGTCTTTTGGTACCGAATACCTTGGCTACGATAATACTCACCAAATGGCCCAATGTATTCACCATCATTGTCTGATCGGATGCACTTCAATTTCTGGATGTTCGTGTGTCGCGTATGGGGGGCGCAGACATGCTTATATACCTTCTGAGCCCCATATCCACTCCCAGTCATCTCCTGACACGTGGCTCTGCTATCCCATCTGTCAGCATAGACCATGCCATTCATCACCTAACCTCAACTGCCCGTCATCACAGCTGGAGCTCGGCAGCCGAGCTGCCCTATCCGTAGTCGCGCCATGCCGTGCTCCACACCCTAGCACTTTCCTGGCAAAGTATATATAGGGAGGACCGGGCTAGGCGGCATCTCGGCAAAGCTTAGCCCGGGCTCCTCCTTTGGTCGGCCTTCTCGCCGGTCAGTCAACTACCTCGGCTGACCGCGCCTTTCCGAGCGCCGGTCTCTCGGTCTGTCTGGTCTCGACAATCCTCGGACCGAGCATCCTGGTCTGACCGGTCACTTCCTGGCCGAGCAGCTTCTGCACGGTCCGGGGCAGCACACAGTCCAAACTCTGCCCGGCCCAAGTTCTGGTAGCCCATCTCCGGGTGAACAGTCGATCATCTCGGCCCAATGCTCTGCTGGGCCCTCAACTTGTTCGGTCTATACCTCGGCCCAACACCGGAGCATAAATCACCCTCTCAAGTCACATGAAAAGAAGCACCGAAATCAATCACCCAATTGCTCTCTTGGCCTACAAAATTGATATAATCATCTTCACAAACAACCATGAGACCACCATTGGTAGTAACCGCCATTGTGTCTTCTTGCTTCTTATCCACACTTTTGTCAAGACTTTTCTCCTTGTTCTTGAGCTTTCGGCACTCCCGCTTCATGTGCCCTTTCTCATGGCAATAATAACACTCAATGTCTTTCTTTGAAAAAGAACAATCTCTTGATTTGTCACAGCTTTGATCATGACCATGAAGAGTCTTACTCCTTCTCCTTGTTTTACTTTGGCTTCTTACAACAAATGCTTCTGAATGAGAGGAACCCGCTGATTTTCTTCTAGTTTCCTCATTTAACAGGCTATTAGTGACTTGGCTCATTGTGACAACTCCAACAGGCGCCGAATTACTAACCGTCATAACCAAAGTCTCCCAATTTTCAAGCAGAGAACTAAGTAACAACAAAGCCTGCAACTCATCATCAAAAACAATTTTCATAGAAGCAAGTTGGTTAACAATACTCTTTATTTCATTCAAATGTTCCAGAATAGGGTTACCCTCTTTATATTTTAAATTAACTAACTTACGAAATAGAAAAATTTTATTTGTGACTGATTTTCTGTCATAAAGGCTTTTTAATTTTTTCTATAAATCATGTACTGAAGTTTCAGTAGTAACATGATGAAACACAATATCCTCAATCCATTGACGGATAACACCAACGACTTTTCGATTAAGCCTCTTCCATTCATTATCTTTCATATCATCAGGCTTGTCACTATCACCCTCAATAGGCCCACACAAATCTTTACAAAATAATAGGTCATCTATTTTAGTTTTTCAAATTACCCAATTGCTTCCATTGAAACTAAACATACGACACACATTCCCCTTCATTGATTTACACAAATAAATAAACTCAAATAAATCGTAAGCTCTGATACCAGTTGTTAGGGAAAATATATGATTCCCCACAAGTAAATCAATCAATGAGAATAAAAACTAACGAGGAAAAATTAAATCAATAGCAATACAAGAATTTTACGTGATTCTCTCAATGTGAGATAATTTTATTAGAAATTGTCCATGTTTTTGGAGTTTTAAATATCTAAATCAGATTTATTTTTTCATATGATAATTTCAAATTGATTATTTGCTGTGGGAATTTTTGAAAACTAAAAAAAAAAGTATGACAAAGTTTAAAAAGTATTAACATCAATTAACTTATACATTTTATATAATGGTATAAACAATAGAGTCCCCTCGTAAATTAGTATTTGCGTTGACATTTTCACTCCGTTGTTGTTTGATATTTCAATCTGTTGTTTACTCTTATGATTAAATTTGTGCTGAAAATCGAAATCTGTGTCCGTATGACTATCAACTTTGGCCGTGTAATGTAATTCATTATGATATTATTAATAAAGTTTTTTTTTTTTAATCAAAAATAAAAATTCATTCTGATATCATCAATAAA